TCAGTCAACGACAGAGAAATGGAGAAGAACGAAAGTGACATAGAGAAGAAAGAGAGAGGCACAGTCAACGACGGAGGAATAGAGAAGAAAGAGTGGCACAGTCAACGACAGAGGACAAGAGAAGAAAGAGAGTGGCACAGTCGAAGATGGACAAATGAAGAAAAACGAGAGTGGCTCAGTCAACGACAGAGGAATAGAGAAATAAGAGAGTGGCACAGTCGAAGATGGACAAATGAAGAAAAACGAGAGTGGCTCAGTCAAAGACGGAAAAATGGAGAAGAACGAGACTGACTCAGTAAACGATGGCGAAATGGAGAAGAACGAAAGAGACATAGAGAAGAAAGAAAGAGGCACAGTCAACGACGTAGAAGTGGAGAAGAACGAAAGTGACACAGTCAACGACAGAGGAATAGAGAAGAAAGAGAGTGGCACAGTCAACGACGGAGGAATGGAGAAGAAAGAGACTGGTACAGTCAACAACGGAGGAATAGAGAAGAAAGAGTGGCACAGTCAACGACAGAGGAATAGAGAAGAAACAGAATGGCACAGTCAACGACGGAGGAATAGAGAAGAAAAAGAATGGCACAGTCAACGACGTAGAAATAGAGAAGAAAGAGAGTGGCACAGTCGACGATGGAGAAATGAAGAAAAACGAGAGTGGCTCAGTCAACGACGGAAAAATGGAGAAGAACGAAAGTGACACAGTCAACGACGTAGAAATAGAGAAGAAAGAGAGTGGCACAATCGACGACGGAGAAATGGAGAAAAATGAGAGAGGCACAGTCAACGACGGAGAAATGGAGAAGTAAGAGAGTGGCACAGTCAACGACGGAGAAATGGAGAAGAAAACGAGAGGCACAGTCAACGATGGAGGATGGAGAAGACAGAGAGTGGCACAGTCAACGACGGAGAAATGGAGAAGAACGCAAGTAACACATTAAATTGTAATCGGTTCATACTTCATCCTCGATATCCAAGGGTTCCGCGCATTTTCGCTCTCTGCACACGTGGAATATGTCATAGCAAAAATGACTACTATTGAAGGATAAGAGAGAACTCTAAACATTCGCTGAATCTCATAATGATCATATTGTGTATCTTTATAACTGACAAATCTTTTGTGCCTATAGGAATGATTCCTCTGATTTCCGTTCTAGGTGTACCGGAGTTATGTCCCTTATATCAAATCGATCTTGATTTTGTCAAAAAAAAAAAAAATTGAAAGAAATATTGCTGATCAATCATTGAACTGTTCAAACTCACAAACCTGTTAATTGATCACCCATTCCCCCTCCGATCCTTTAAATTCTGAAAATTACGATCTAGGTCAAATTGATCGAACAATTCAGACTCTAAAACGGTAAAATATAATAAATACCGGTTCCCGGGGTGGGGGGCTATAGGTTTGCACTCTGGAGTAACCAGATTTGGTGTACAAGGACAACTTGGGATGAAGGAGTGCAGGGTGAAAGAATTAGGTCACTGTGACCAATGACTTGACCTTTGACCTTAACCTTTGAAAATAGTTTGTCTGGGGCATATCTTCTATACTATTTCACCTGGAGTAACCGGATTTGGTGTACCAGGACAACCTCGGGATGGAGGAGTGCAGAATGCAAGAATTAGGTCACTGTGACCAACGACTTGACCTTTGACCTTAACTTTTGAAAATGGTTTGTCTGGGGCATATCTTCTATATTATTTCACCTGGAGTAACCAGATTTGATGTACCATGACATCTTGGGATGGCGGAGTGCAGAGTGCAAGAATTTGGTCACTGTGCCAAATGACTTGACCTTTGACCTTAACTTTAGAAAAAAAAATTGTCTGTGGCATATCTTCTATGCTTTTTCACCTGGAGTAACCACTTTTTGTGTACAAGGACATCTGGGGATGGCGGATTGCAGAGTAGTACGTATCAGGATACTTTCCTAACAGTAGGTACATCCTGACATAAGTGTACCGTTTGTTAAATATAGAAATCATTACCGGTTGGGGACGATGGATTGCCTTGTTAATATCCTGTTATTTTATTTAAGATGATTTTATTTTTTATTGAAACACCGTTTTTAGAGACTGCACCTGATAGCGCTTTGAACAACTTGATAAATTGCCTCTGATGCATAAATAACTACCTAGATCTACATACGTTTGGATCTTCATAATATTAATTTTAAAGTTTTAAAGTGCAGTGTCATATAAATCTTCACATTTTCGCAGAGTTCACATTAATTTAAAAGAAACAATTTATTGTCATTGATAATTGAAAGAAAAAAATAATCCGATGTAAGACGTCGATATCAGAATGAGGAAACTGTCAGTCAGATTATTGTTAAGGTATGCGATGGAATAGGATCGTTTTTTTGTAAAACACATTATTTCTGGTGATCGTTTTTGTTGTCTGTATCAAAAGTTATAATCTAGAACTGAAAAGATGTCTGCCATTACTACGGTAGTTGAGCTTGATTTGACAAATGACAAGCTAGAAGAGCAGTTCCTTCCTGATCCAAGATTTGGTGAACTTTTGAGAAGTTTTGTTTACCCGGTTCATGATTTGACGATCATTTCAAGAAAGTTTAGGAAGAGCATTGCCTTCCTGATGACGGATTTGCTCAACATTTACGAAAAGAGCATTGTTTTCCTTCTGTCAACTTTAAAGACATTTTGAGAAAAGCATCGTTTTCGGCAATTGAAAAGAGCATTGCCAGTTTTGATGAACATTTGGGAAGAGGATTGCTTCCCTCTTACTGGATTTCATGAACCTTTGGGAAGTTACCTTCCTGGTGCCGGAATTGCCTTCCTTCTGCCAACCTTGATTAAGATTTGAGTAAAAGGTTTCAAGTTTTGCTGTCAAAATTGATGAACATTTGAGAAGAGGATTGTCTTCGCCGCGCTACGTTTGCTGTTCAAACATTTGCCGAGAGCATTGCTTTCCCGTTGACAGATTTAATGAATATTTTAGAAGAGCAATACTGTCCCGGTGCTGGATTTCACGAAGATCTGAAAAAATTGCTTTCTCGTTGCAGGATTTTAATGAACATTTGAGAATAAAAATAAATCTCCAGAAACACATGAGGGCTAATGGACACATACAAAGAACTTTGCCCAGTAACATGTAGACCTTCACAATCCTCAATATTCAAGGTTCATGTCACGGAATGTAAGAGAGTGCAACTGGAATTTTGAACATGACCTTTTCAAGAAATATGCTTCAATGTAAATATCAGTTTAAGATTTCTTCTTTTTGCTTCCATACCAATGCTCATCAAAGACTTCATTGCCCTTGATAATACAGGACAAATTATAGCCTTTTAATGACTATTTTTTTGAAAAGTGTATTGATGTTCTGTGTGCTATATTGTGAACAGAAAGGTTCAAGGTCAAATTTATAGCACACAGGCCAAGGTCAAATATGGTAAAATTCAATTCCTGTTCCCTGTATCAGTTCTGATCGGCTTCACAGATGTGTATCGCCACATAATGACCGGTTAAAACGTTAAGCACACTTTGATGGTTCAAAGATGAATTAATTTACTACTTGTCTAAAATACCCGCTTATACATGAAACATGACTAGACAATGTGGTGTATGCCATGTTTAAGCCTGTGGTCCAATTATTGTAATTCTTCTGTGGCAATACCTTACGAATGGCTTCCTGTGTTTAATGAAACTTCAAAGGAAATATGCTCACAGGGCAATTTATAACTTTGTGGAGATAATATAACAAAATTCAGTAACAGAAACACATTTCCCTTTAACCCATTCTATGGCAAGCCAACTTAACATTTATTCAAGGAGCAATGTCGATCCTGTATTTCAAAAAAATATATAAGATATCTTATATAGTATATGAGATATCTTATATAGTATATGAGATATCTGATATAGTATATGAGATATCTTATATAGCATATGAGATATCTTATATAGCATATGAGATATCTTATATACCATATAAGATATCTTATATACCATATAAGATATCTTATATCGTATATAAGATATCTCATATAGTATATGAGATATCTTATATATTATATAAGATATCTTATATAGTATATGAGATATCTGATATAGTATATGAGATATATTATATAGTATATGAGATATCTGATATAGTATATGAGATATATTATATAGCATATGAGATATCTTATAAAGCATATGAGATATCTTATATAGCTATATGACATATCTAATATATTATATGAGATATCTTATAAAGTATATGAGATATCTTATATAATATATAAAATATCTCATATAGCTATATAAGATATCTCATATACTATATAAGATATCTTATATAATTAAAGTCTTGTTACTAAATAAGATATCTTATATAGGAACGAGATTTTAACAAAATGTCAAAAATGAAGTCTCCAATGCAATCCTGAATGTGCTCCGAATGATTCTCGAGGGAGAAATTAGTTTCTGGTTTTTAATGCCACAAAATCTCATTCTATATCAGATATCTTATATAGCAACGAGATTTCAATTATATAAGATATCTTATATAGCTATATGACATATCTAATATATTATATGAGATATCTTATATAGAAAATTAAATGAGATATCTTATATGCGATATAAAATATCTTATATAGTATATATGATATCTTATATACTTATATAAGATATCTCATTTAATTTCTATATGAGATATCTCATTTAATTTCTATATGAGATATCTCATATAGGATATAAGATATCTCATATGCTATATAAGATATCTTATATAATTCGATGAAATACAGGATCGACATTGCTCCTTGAATAAATGTTAAGTTGGCTTGCCATACCATTCACCCCTGATCTCACATTTGCACCTTACCAATTAAGACTTGGAAAGTCCAGTTTAAATGTAAAGGATTGAATAAGTTTACAGATTCAACAGTAATTTGGAATTAGCCAGAAAGTGTGAAAATTCAAACAGCATTCAAAGTGAGTTTCAATTTTCTTTGTAAATCGTGAAATAAAAAACACAAATAATGACGTAAAAAACATAGCAACTCTTTATTCTGAAATAACAGAACAAGATATGAACATACATACAAACTGACACTTTATACGAAAAACATTAATTCTGAAAAAAATAAATGGATCACAATAAACAAATATGATATGAATGTGATTATGTCAATGCATAATAGTGATTAAAAATTCTCCTCAACCTATCATCCTTGTAGATTGTAAGGAGGAATATAAAATAGGAAATAATATCCACAATGAAACCGATAATTAATTCTATCCCGTCCGTCGCACCAGACATCTCAACAGTACCACGACACATTACAGGGATGACTTGATGAGCTACGGAAAAGATACACAAATAATTACTATAAATTCATAGCCACAAGTCAAACCTATACCAAAACAATTTACATATGATACACATGGAATACCCTATCGCTGATATCTGTCTGCGAATCATATGTCACACACATTTGACAACAAAACTACTGACTTCCTGATCACAAATATCTGTAGGGATAGAGAGATTCAAGGCCAAAGACCAGGTCAAGGACATTTAAACATGTTAATATTAACCCCATACAGATCCGGACAGACAGGTATACAACGACCCCATACAGATCCGAACAGACAGGTATACAACGACCCCATACAGATCCTGACAGAGAGGCATACAACGACCCCATACAGATCCGGACAGACGGGTATACAACGACCCCATACAGATCCGAACAGACACGTATACAACGACCCCATACAGATCCGGACAGACAGGTGTAGAACGACCCCATACAGATACGGACAGAGAGGCATGCAACGACCCCATACAGATCCGGACAGAGAGGCATACAACGACCCCATACAGATCCCGACAGACAGGTATACAACGACCCCATACAGATCCGGATAGACAGGCATGCAACGACCCCATACAGATCCGGACAGACAGGTATACACCGACCCCATACAGATCCGGACAGAGAGGTATACAACGACCCCATACAGATCCGAACAGACAGGCATACAACGACCCCATACAGATCCGGACAGACAGGCATACAATGACCCCATACAGATCCGGACAGACAGGTATACAACGACCCCCATACAGATCCGGACAGACAGGCATGCAACGACCCCATACAGATCCGGACAGAGAGGCATACAACGACCCCATACAGATCCCGACAGACAGGTATACAACGACCCCATACAGATCCTGACAGAGAGGCATACAACGACCCCATACAGATCCCGACAGACAGGTATACAACGACCCCATACAGATCCTGACAGAGAGGCATACAACGACCCCAAACAGATCCGGACAGACAGGTATACAACGACCCCATACAGATCCGGACAGAGTGGCATGCAACGACCCCATACAGATCCGAACAGACAGGCATACAACGACCCCATACAGATCCGGACAGACGGGTATACAACGACCCCATACAGATCCGGACAGAGAGGTATACAACGACCCCATACAGATACGAACAGACAGGTATACAACGACCCCATACAGATCCTGACAGAGAGGCATACAACGACCCCATACAGATCCGAACAGACAGGTATACAACGACCCTATACAGATCCGGACAGAGAGGCATACAACGACCCCATACAGATCCGGACAGACAGGTATACAACGACCCCATACAGATCCGGACAGACAGGCAGTCTTTTAGGAATACAGACACACAATTTAAGTACACTGTAAACGTATGAACAGAGAAATTGGTCTCTGAAGACAGGAAAAGGGTAATTTGATTAAATATGAGAATGGGTAGGAAAAGCTGATGTTTAAGACTTGCAAAACTATTTTTTAGGGGTATAACATTTTGTCATTTATTGTAGATGTCCTTGAAGCTAGGTGACAGTAAAGCAAAGTTTCACTGTTCACATAAATCGGCATATTTGTAAATTATACAGCACTGTACACATATGATACAACCTACCTAAACTTTTGCAGAATTTTGCAAAGTGAGTAGACTCCCTTGAACATTGGTATACTGTAAATAGCTTTCTCCATTTATAACAATACAATTAATACATTAATACTTAAATACACAATTCCTTTTTCTGATATGCACACCTAAATTCACAACATAAAACTACAATCTGGTCGACAGATTCACTGTCGACATCCACCATGACTGATTCATTCCCTGGTGTCGGGTATTACTGGCATAGGGCTGAACTACCAGCCATAACATGTCAATCTACCTCGATTTTTAACATGTCCAAAACAAAAATAGGTGATTGCAAATCAAATCATAGATGTTTTTTTCAACAACAAATTAAAAGATAGCAGTTTGAAATGATCAGTTCAGAGGTACCAGTACAGAATACGTTTCAATATTACTGTAGCCAATTCTACTCGGGTCAGCTTCACACATGTAGATAAAACAGTCCTTGCATCAAATTCTGACGAGACAGTTGTACATGACTGAATAATAAGTTTCTCAAATAGAAGAAAAACAAGTATTTGTTCAGGTATTTATCTTTTTTCCTTTCAATCTCTGACACGCTTATATAAATGTACAGCTATGCCTACTGGATATAGAAGTACATGTTTTCCATTTCCTCAAGGGAAGAGTCAGTTTCCTGATTTATGATTGCCCTAAATAGATCGAATGTACCTTTATTAAGCGATAAAATACGAGGTACTAATATTTGAATGTTACCTTGTTAACCACATGGCACTTTTTCTTTACACTGAACCAAACTAGTCCAATCTTATTCATACATGTTAGGCTTGCTAAGGCTAAAGTAATGGCATAGAAAGGGAAAAAATATTCTCTTAGTCAATAAAACTTAAATCTATATAACACTGGTTAGTACAGGGAAACTATTAAAAGTAATGTTTTGTCTACAATAAATATTATTTTACTTATATTTTCAAGGATTAAATTTGTCTTGTACATACATGACCCTTTTTTGGCGAAATCTAATCTCTAATTCTCACTGAATAAGGATGCAGAAAAGAAAATAGTATTACAGAAATTTTGAAAAAATTGTATTCATGCAAAAATTATTTACCTGTCTATTAAAAAAAAAAAAAGTATTTTTTTTCTATATGCTTGCCATTTAAAAACTTATTAACGGAACAAAAATTCATATATTCTTGTGATACAAACTAAGTCTACAGACATAACACTTTACATAAGCTACCGGAGAAAAGGTGTATGAAAGGTGGAAAATTTCTCTGTATATCGTAGATATACACTATATACCCACAGGTGTCTAGTCTACTAAACACAATACACCGGGTAGCTACATAGTGTACCAGATATACTATACATACAGGGACTCTTACCTACTCAACAAAAACAGTTCTACCTCAACACAATGAATATATTATAGAGATTGTAAACTACAGAGGATATAATTTTGTGATTTTTTTATTTATCCGTAACAATTAAAAAATTTAGATTAATATTTTGAAAAAATTGGACGATCATTAACAGTGTATCAGGCTAGGTTTAATCATCCTAGTTCTTTTTTTTTCATGTCTGATGATATAAGTTATCGAGTAGGGGAAAAAAGCAAAAGGAATCCAACAAAACATTTCAAAACATGCAGTTGTTTACTCTACCAGTATGTGACAACATTGAATCATAGCAATAGGTTCTAGATACAAATTCACAAACTTTTATAGCCAAGAAAATTACTTACTACAAAGTAGAATATTCACTTAGTATTTATAAGAGAAATTGATCACCACAATCCAACGACAGATTTCAGGTCACCTCTGCTTTCCTTTTTTTCAGAACAACTCCTTGATGTTGCCGTCAATACATCATGTTGATCATCCACCCCCCTTTTAATGCCATTTTTTTCTGGACAAGAAGTTGCATTATAAGTTTTATAACCAAGTTTGACTAAATAGCCGCTTACTGTAATTTGTTACTACAAAGTCAAATTAAGAGATATTTCAAACATTTTCCCAGTGGTGTGAACAGGAACAACAGATTTCGAGATTACAATGTTAAAAAATTATAACATAATAAGTATGTAAGACCACAATATAATGACGAGACATTGTCAGGGAGAATTAAAGCGAAACATGTAAAAGTGGGTGGGGCAGACGAAAGGTTAACTGAATTAAAACACAAATGATTGGTTGTCAATGATGTCGCTATGATGACGTCTCATTGATTTTTAAAAAGTGTATCGCAGCATGAATCACAACCTATGAGATGTGGCTTGAATGATGCAAGCTGTGTGATTAAACACAGCACGGAAACCCTAAAAGTCCCATTTAGATCAGTCTATACCGATTAACCTTCGTTATAATATATATGTACATCATGTGGTTTTGCATGTCAACCCACGATTATACTCCAAGATCGGTTTGTTTTGAAATTGTATTGAAAAACTTGTATAATCTGACCCAAAGGGATTACAACACCCTATCGTATCCAACATGATGCTGTATTTCTGACATTGTCTATGTGTTCTAGAACCCTGTCTAATCTGACCTATTTGTTATACTGTCCCGCTGAGTATCCGATTGGACACAAATTGATCATATCCACTAATAAACTTTGCCAGGTCACACCAACACTGTCCAAGCACATGTTACCCCAGAAAAAATAGGACAAGATATATTTTGTAAATATATTCAAAGCTTTGGGACTTTCAATGTTACAATACACTTATACATGTCTATGTACAGGCCTCAAAATATCCATAATGAAAATATGGGAAAGAAAATAATTCACTTCAATAGTTGAAATTGGTCACAAACAAATTTTGTTTAAACTTGATTCAACCTGAAATAACACATTCACAAAGCAGAACTTATACTTTTCAGAAATGTGTATTTCATCTCTGCTTGGACAAGATTTTCAGTTGTTCGACAAGTTACTGGTTGTATATCCCAAATGAGAGATCTAGGGCCCTCAATGAAGTTGACAGATTGTTATAAATATATATGTTATAATAGTAGAGTAATATGCACAGTGTAACACAGAAGGCTTGAGTCTCTTCCGTCGTCGTCGTGGTATTAGGCACGCCCGTGTTGCGCACTGAGGCATGGTCCCTTTATCCTCTCAGTAAGCCAACATCTGTTGCTCTCCATTTATAACATGTGACTTGAGCACGCCATCTTCTTCCACCGTTACCGTCTCCTTGCCATGTTCTACGACTCTACAAACATAATAATCGTCGTAATTACTTTTTACTGTATACCAAAAAGTTTCATCAAGAGACATATTTTAGGATCAAATCATTGTCTGTTGAGGTTTATGGGGTATAATCTCAATGGATCTTGAGGAAAATCATATTGATTGCAAAAAAGAAGACCATATCAAATTTGTTTCAGGACCCATAGGGGTTTATATCCATGATTCTCAATTGAACAGGATTCAATCCTTATATTCAAACTCAGTGTGATTTTAACAAAATACTGGACTGGTGTAAGTGGAACACAACAAAAGGTGAGGAAGCTTGTGATGTCATCACTTATTTTGTGACATCGTCCTGGTAAGATAAATAGTTGTTTTGTGTTGATTACAACATTAAAATGCAACAAGATATAAAAACTTGTTTATTTCAATCAGAAACTCAATAAAGAAAACCCACAAAATGAAAATAATCTATAAATGGACAGCTTCCCCCACTCATTAGCTGACATATTTATACACCAACTGGAAAGTTGTAAATGTCATCCCTCACAAGGCCAGAGCTTTGTATAGAAGGTTGTGTAATCATATTTTCTAACAATTTGCCCAGAAATGAAAATTTTATGAGTACTTACTTAATACGTGTGCATCAATCAGTATACTCACTTTTTTGTTACGACACGTTTACCGTTGATATATTTAGTTGTTGTGGAAGTTGACCTGAAGTTACCGGCATTGTTGCCATGACCAGAATATGGCCCGCCAAAAGATGTGCTTGTTTGCAAAAATCTGAAATAATAAAATTGGGATCAGATTAGCCATACGAAAAATATCATCCTTTTCCATTCCTGGAATTTTTTCCATAAACTATGTGTTCCTAGATTGAGTACATTATTTGATTTAACTTGCTTTTGCTAGCATCCTCTTTACCGTCACATATGAAGTCCATGTCTGCAAACGAACAATTTCTGCAGTGAAGGTTAAATTAGGAATAATCCTGAATTGCTTTTAAACGGGTTATAGTCCATTCATCAGGAAAAAGAACGTGGTCATCACTGGCATGGAGTATCTAATATTCCACTTAACATCAAGGCAGTATTGCAGTCTAGCATGAACAAAATGTACCACCATCACTAAGCATCAATAAAACATCGGGCAATGATTGTTTAAATCGGCAAAAACATTAAGAAGAGATATTTGTTCACAATAATCCACATTATTCTTATTCTCAGTTTTGTTATTGTCAGTGAAATACGCAAGTAAATGTATTGAACCTTAAACGTGAAGTTTATAAAGGGATATGTGGTGCAGGGGAGATAATCTAACAGACCACACTATATAAATATACTGCCTTACATCTTTGTCGCTATTCAACCAGGAAATCATAAATACACTGTAACAGATCATCCAATGATTGAGTGTGCATTCCAATTGTTAACTTGAACATGTTTAAATACAGCCTCGTGTATAAATATGTGGATAGAAAGTCATGTCTATAAGGCGATTTGATCTCTTTCATATGTACACAAACTCAAAATCTACTTTTGGATAGAACATTCAGAATTGCAAATAAGGTAGATAGGTAAAGTACATTTTGTGCAATTTATTTACACATGTACAATATCAGTAGTAATTAAAGCCATAATGAATACAATATAGGACTGTCCAAATCAACAAATCTCCTGGTAAATGGTAAATAATAGTGAAAGTCCTGAGAATTGTTTTCCATTCAATAGGAATCAATCTCGTTGACCAGTTAAGAATTTCAATTTAATTTCTTAACAAATGAATGAGCCACTACATTCATTTTGAAATTTGACATCATTAAATTTTGTGAAAAAATCGTTGGACATAGCAAGTCCCATATAATGGATCAAAAACCTATGAACAGCTCTTATGTCTGCAAACATGGAATGCAGGCTTCAAACTAGTAGATAATCCTGTTAACACTTCACTGATCCAAATGAATGTCAACATATTTTATATGCCTAAAAGACTTCTGACCTAATTTTGAAATAAGAATTTGAGGTCAATATATTATTATGAACTTTGACCTATAATTACTACAGGTAAATTACTTCACCCTAGAGTAAGTCATTATTACCAAGACCTCTTATATTTTAATGACTTTCCCCGGATTTCAACAGTCACACAAGGTCGAGGTGTAAATGATGCCACACTAGGTGATTCAATAGGAAACACAGTGGTATAATATAAGGGATATACTGGTCCATGCTTATCTCAACACCAACAACATCCTCACAAAGGGCAGATAACCCCAGGTGCACACATCACTTTTTATGGTTGCATGTCACTAATTCACCAAATGCTGAAATGTGTATTATAAAGAAATTTGTGCATGTTTAAATGCAACTTAAAACGTTGTTTTTCTTTATTATACTTTCAAATTATTCACAAGTGAATTTAAATTTAAATCTTATTAGGTATTTTTTAATGTTTTCTAGTCAACTGCATGTAGACGGAAAAAAATTGGACAATCAGATTTCTTTTTGAAAATAAAACTTGTTGTAATGCACAGGAAGTCTATCTATATAAATGTACAACGTATGTAGCAGTTGTGGTGACCATGACCTAGATCCTCAATATGCAATGGCAGATAATTCTATAGAAATACATCATACAGACCGACTGCGACATGCTCGTGTTGGAAATCACTTCAAAATCTCTGATCAATCTCTTATTCATCAAAATGGGTAAAATACGGTGAATACTCTTAACTACTCATAGCTATAGGTAGCAATGATGTTTGAATGTAGTTTAAGGTAAAACTTATTATTAAAGCTGCTAATTAATATCAATTTTTAGTTTGGGTCCTAGTCTCAATTATAATGTTTAATGCTTTCACGTTATAGCCAAACCATGATCGATCCTAGAAAATCACGATTAATTATAGTCAGAGGTAAAACAACTGATCAGCAATTAAATTGATTCATCAGAACAACACTAAGACATGCTATTTCCATATAATTATGAGGGTAATGAATGTTGTGCTAAACATACAAGATATAAATATAAATATTGTTGATGCAGGTTCAAGGGAGACTATTCTCTTCAAATTCAAATACACAAACTTAAGTAGAACCCCTACACCATCTGAATCTTCAGTGTCACATTTTTCAACATTTTCATTTTTTCAAACATTTTGTTTGTAGTGGTCTGGTGTTAAAGCAACTATCAATAAATTATTTGAGCATACTTTGATACAGGAACACGAGTATCCCGACAATACATCCACACTACAGTGTATTAAAGCTGTACTAGTCTCCAGGACACTTTGGTTTCTAGAAAAAATACTCCAGAGTTGCACATTTCTCACACAAAATAAGTACCGAATGACAATGTTGTACTCTATACTGTAGCTGTCCACTTATATATTCTAGAGTCATTTGCCTCCCAAGGTCAAGAACAGAACATATATGAACCAGCTGTACTCAACCAAGTAAGATATAATTTGACCTTGACAGGAAGTGCAGCCCAAATTTCTTTCCCTGATTTGTAATTCTCTTTCTATAAACCATATCCTGGAGATTGATACCCCATGCATTTATAGAATGTATCCTTTATTAAAGTCCTGACTAAAGATATTCCTGAATGAAATGTAGGAATTATACAGCAACAGTCTTGTGGGATAAAAACAAAACCTGTCTTGTGCTTATAATTCACAGGCACTTCATTTTTATTCATTTCAAATTTTGGCCAAATGTTGAATTTCATTTTAGTAAAAAAAATCCAAAATTATAAATATAGGCAATGATGTTATATATTGATTCTCAAAAGTGTTTTCTTTACATCAACGGCAATCACTGAGCATGTGAATGGAATACATTACATTACATAGCAGTACATTCTCCAATATATCCAGTGATGATTGATTTTACAACTCTATCTACTGGCTAGAGTCTATCACTACCAAGACATCTACTGATTGGTAAATACAGCTCCTGAACAGTGACTAATATAACATTCAGCTAACAGAGGGATGGTCAAATACTCTCATCATACAAGTGTATTCATATTCCAGCAATTAGCTAAAAGGGATTGTAGGACATTTTCATTGAATACAATATACTAGCAGTTAGCCGACAGTGGGGTTTTAGTAGGTTCCCTTTGAGTGCATATTCTACCAGTTAGCTAACAAAGGGATTGTAGGACATTCTCAATCTTTACATATCCTACCAGTTCGCTAACAAAGGGATTGTAGGACATCCTCAATCTTTACATATTCTACCAGTTAGCTAACAAAGGGATTGTAGGACATTCTCAATCTTTACATATTCTACCAGTTATCTAACAAAGGGATCGTAGGACATTCTCAATCTTTACATATTCTACCAGTTATCTAACAAAGGGATTGTAGGACATCCTCAATTTCTACATATTCTACCAGTTAGCTAACAAAGGGATTGTAGGACCTCTCAATCTTTACATATTCTACCAGTTAGCTAACAAAGGGATTGTAGGACATCCTCAATTTCTACATATTCTACCAGTTATCTAACAAAGGGATTGTAGGACATCCTCAATCTTTACATATCCTACCAGTTAGCTAACAAAGGGATTGTAGGACATTCTCAATCTTTACATATTTTACCAGTTATCTAACAAAGGGATTGTAGGACATCCTCGATTTCTACATATTCTACCAGTTATCTAACAAAGGGATTGTAGGACATTCTCAATTTCTACATATTCTACCAGTTAGCTAACAAAGGGATTGTAGGACATCCTCAATCTTAACATATCCTACCAGTTAGCTATCAAAGGGATTGTAGGACATTCTCAATCTTTACATATCCTACCAGTTATCTAACAAAGGGATTGTAGGACATCCTCAATCTTTACATATCCTGCCAGTTAGCTAACAAAGGGATTGTAGGACATCCTCAATCTTTACATATCCTACCAGTTAGCTAACCAAGGGATTGTAGGACATTCTCAATCTTTACATATTCTACCAGTTATCTAACAAAGGGATCGTAGGACATTCTCAATCTTTACATATTCTACCAGTTATCTAACAAAGGGATTGTAGGACCTCTCAATCTTTACATATCCTACCAGTTATCTAACAAAGGGATTGTAGGACATTCTCAATCTTTACATATTCTACCAGTTAGCTAACAAAGGGATTGTAGGACATTCTCAATCTTTACATATCCTACCAGTTAGCTAACAAAGGGATTGTAGGACATTCTCAATTTTTACATATCCTAACTATTAACTTACAATGGGAAGATAGGAGTGTCTCATTGAATAACAATGATTCTAGCAGCTAACATAAGGATGTTTGGAACTTTTCAATGAAAATACGAATTTTGAACAAACAAAAGCAGAATTGCTTCCCAGAAAGAAACAAGAAATTATCTTTACATTTATACAAATACATGACAGATTCAAATATACCTTCATGTTTTAGAGAGAGGTATATTGTGAAATATTTGAGTGCAGAAATGTTGGAAATCGGGAAAATTGAGGTCACTATCTATAATCAATGTATGGGTACAGAATGATGATATCAAAGGAAATCCAACATTGACCTGAGGAGAGACTGGTCAATGTGGAAATATAGGGCCGAAATCTAAATACCAAACTATATAACAACAGTCTATCTAGAAAAGGTTTACCCTGGCGGTCTATGAAAGTGTCCAAAAGGATCGTCAAACATAGAGGAAAATCCAAAGCTGAGTGGAAATCCCATTTGGAAGACACCAAACTGTTGACCAGCTGGGTGGTGATGGCCCATTCCTATCCTTTCTCTCGGTCGCCGTGACGATGATTGTCCTGCCAAGTCCATCCTATCCCTGCGCCTGTATCCCCTCGTAGGTCTCCGACTGAAACACCACCATCTGCCGTGACTCTTTCTGGTTCCCTGACCTTTTGTTACTTGGGTTATTGTAATTGAAACCTCTCACCTTATTCACCATCTACTGACCTTGAGTTACTATGGTTACCTATTGCTCTCCTGTTATTGGTTGTCTACTCTATGTTTCCATGGTAAGTTAAGTACTAAACCCTGCCCACTGTAGGATGGATTGATTATATGAGGGAACAGGAAAAAGCTTCAACTGATTCAGGCAAGAAAATGCACAAAACACCATGCAGCGTGTATAAGGAAAGGGTGATTATGTGAAAATTGGCGAAAGAGAATGATACCATGCCAAAAATTAATAAATAAATTGGATTGTTTCCCATCATGCACTAAGGTACTGTCATGCATGAAAATACTAAAACTGTGGAAATATGAAAATCAGTCACTGATCATCACTTCCAAGTAATGATTAGAAAGAGACTACATGGTTCAACTTCCTTCAGGAAAAACAATCATCAAGCATCAATTCTTCCAGGAAAGACAACTCAGTCAGAATTGGCACAGATTAACAACCACATATAGACTTACATGGTTCTCAATCAGTAACAAATATCTCGGTCATACAAGGAATTACTTCACTTTCATCCATCTCAATTTTTTGTCAAATTTGACTTGACAACAAATGTAATTTATACATAACTGTCTATAGTTAGTTATGTTGTGAACTACATGGTATACTTTGGGTAGTGCATTCTACACATCTCTGAGTAGAGCAGTGTGTAGTTTATCTTATTTCATACCAAGTGTTGCAAATATTCATCAATCTTCCTTTGTCTTTCTACATGTATCAGTTACATATATCTTAACTGCTGTTGCATATATCCTAACTGCTGTTACATATATCCTAACTGCTGTTACATATATCCTAACCGCTGTTACATATATCCTAACTTCTGTTACATATATCCTAACTGCTGGATATATCAGTTACATATATCCTAAATGCTGGATGTATAAGTTACATACATCCTAACTGCTAGATGTATCAGTTACATATATCTTAACTGCTGGATGTATCAGTTACATATATCTTAACTGCTGTTGCATATATCCTAACTGCTGTTCCATCTCTCCTACCTGCTGTTACATCTATCCTAACTGCTGTTACATATATCCTAACCGCTGTTACATATATCCTAACTGCTTGATGTATCAGTTACATACATCCTAACTGCTGGATGTGTCAGTTACATATATCCTAACTGTTGGATGTATCAGTTACATATATCTTAACTGCTGTTTCATATATCCTAACTGCTGGATATATCAGTTACATATATCCTAACTGTTGGATGTATCAGTTACATATACCCTAACTGCTGTATGTATCAGTTACATATATCCTAAATGCTGGATGTATAAGTTACATACATCCTAACTGCTGGATGTATCAGTTACATATATCCTAACTGCAGTTACATATATCCTAACTGCTGGATGTAAATGAGTCTAAATATTGGCAGAATTGTTACTTCATTCCAACCTCAGATTCATTAAACACCATGTCACTATTTGTCTGGACCCACAAGGTTCATGTTAGTGGGGGTTTAATACATACTGATAGCCCAGACATTATAACTCCCCAAACAACACTATCTAAGACCAGTTTACTAGGGAAGGGCCATATAATAGTTTGTTTTCATGATCAATCTTAAAGGAAAGATTTGTCCTTCAATGATTTCAAGAATCTACAGATATTATTAAAATCATTTTGATTATATTAGTATTTCATTGATCAGCACATTTGTTGGAAATACTTGTATAGGGGACAGTGCTAATTTGAAAGTAGATATAGGTGTTTTCCAGTTTGGGCACTGTATTTCACAGGCTAACAAATATTCTCTAGATTTGTCAGTCTGATGGCTAAATAAACTGTAAATGAGACAGTAGAAAAATATCCTGAAATGAAACTCAGATCCAGGTAAAACATCCTATCTACCTGTAATTTATGGCAGATTTTAATTACAGGTAACATTCAAGAACTGTTGCCATTCAAGTGACTGCAGCACTGAAACAGCTGATCAAATATTCTCATCTTGCCCAGCAGTATGACATCTGTCAAATCGGGACTACACATAAGTCCATGATTAGATTAAGTTTTAACCAGGACCAAGCCATATCACAAGTTTAAAACTACATTGGTCGTCTAGTGGAAAAAAATGGGTTTTGTGATTCTTATAACACTTATTCTGTCTTTGCGTATTCGTAGAGTTAGCTTCTCTTGTGAGCAGGTATTGATTGTTACGTCATTGGTTTGTGTGAGAAAATTACGTCGTTTTCTCAAAAATTGATGACGTTTCTCTCACAAACAAATGACGTAACGTTCAATACCTGCTCACAAGAGAAGATAACTCTGCAATACGAAAAGACGAAATATTGTCATTTATAATATTTAACACCATGGAGACACACACACCAAGAAATCACTAACACGATATCTCCTCGCAGTCAACTTTTTAGACTTCCTTGGTAGGGAGTAACACAGAGTTGTAAACATCTAAGCTTCATGGTAAGACAAATGTATTGCTGTCAACATTTTACAGTAGAAACAGATGTTTTGTTATTTGCCTTACTCTGTAACTATAAATGAGCAATGCAATTATTGAATTGATGTATTATGAACATTGTATTTCATGATAAAAAAGATGTTTTGCGAACAAAGTAGTTTCACTGTGATACAATTGTTACAAATATCTTATTTTCATGGGGATACAGATGTAGTGTTATGTACTCTATACAGGCCTTGATGACGCCCAATGTTCGGGCAAACCCGGTAGACCACACCAATAAACATAAGAAAACCAGTCCCTAGTTTGCTCCGATTTTTTAGATTTGCTGTATACAGGGAAAATTTTGTCCAGTCAAATAATCACCCTTTGACGGTAAAATCCATTTCCACCCAATAACTGGTATTAAATTTGCCCCTTACATTAAATTTCTATGTCAGTTATGTTGTTTATAAATGTTCGCTAAATTTGTCCTGATTAGGATGGGCGAAAAAGGCCAAATCTAAAACTGCAGCAAAAAATTCCCAGTAAACAGAATGCATTGAAGTGAATGTTGTAGTTTCAAAAAGACAACTTATTTCCTATCCTTCTAAGACTCCAACCAATGGACGGGCTGACCACACTCAATAGCATTTATAACTGTCAAGTCTAATTTTTGTTTTATCATTGAGGGAAAGTTAGTAATGTTGTGTAATTTTAGTAATTAAGGTCCTTATGAAACAACATATGCTGTATTTTATCATTCTTTTTTTATTTATATCAATCTGATTGCATTAAGTGTTTATCATATTTTCTAAAATAACTTACATAGACTTGTTCTAAAAATTTACCACAAAACAGTTTATGAATTTTCCATTGAAATCATTTTGGATTATTTGGGGTGAATTTCCACATTTGGGCTTTCATTGTGCACATGTAATTATAATATCTAAGGATTAACTTGAATATATTTTTTATGTTATGGAGATATAACACAACAAAAAGGAATGTACTCTAAATAAACCGCAAAGCGGTTTATGATGAGAGTACACTCCGTTTTTTTGTGTTATTATAAGCTCCATAACATGAAAAATATATTCAAGTCAATCCTTATAATTTAAGCTATTTTACACAATCCCTGCGGAAATCCACTTTCATTGATCGACTCTTTTCTCTTAGAAATGATTATGCCAATGTATCAACCAATCAGAAGTGACGTTACAAACAGCGACGTCATTTTTTATGTAATGGGCTGATAACATAAATTTTTAAGCCAATGAAAATGCTTGTTACAAGCAAGATTGAATTATAACATAATAATGTAGCTTCAGGGAGTTTGGCTAAGATTGGTCCCTGACCTGCGAATTTTTATGAACTATTTCTCAATAAGACATATTATAGTATGCACTATATATATACTTTGTACTTAATAAACAAATTTTAAAAAACGGACTCAAATATATAATTACATATATATAGGGGTCCATGATAATTGAATGACTTAAGTATAATTACATAAGGAAACTCTGGATATGATATGATAAACACGGCACTATAACTACACATAGTTAGATTCTCCCAGTATCTATTTCACTGAAACTTTCAAACATCACGGACTGAAAACCAATGTGTGAACTTTTATTTTCACTTTATGCAGAGAATGAGGTAAAAAGGTCAAAGAAATATGTACTTGAAAATAAAAAATAAATAACAAATGCGTAATGACTAAAGTAAAAGAATTCAACGGATTGCATAATTTTGAAAGAGAAAGACAACAATCCCATTTTAATGACAAACCAACGAATAAAAATTATTGTGCTGAGTGCAGGTGGTTCATGATGACTGGTCATGTGACATGTAGGCTTGGCCAATTAGAAGGCATGATATTTACAGGCAATTCTACAAGCACACAACACATTTTACTGGAAGGTAAGTGTGACATATTTTGGCATTGGGTTTCCCGTTGTAAAGTCAAAATATGTCAACCAACATATCAAGACCTTGGTGCAACTAATTGAATATCACTTGAGACAAAAAGCTCATAAGCATGGGCATGGTAATTAAGGCATGCATTGCTATTACGGTAAAGAGCATCATCAGTTTCACAAATATAGAATTACTACAGGCACTGTTCTTTTCTACTGATGAATTTCACACACACCAAAAAATATTGGCATTCATTTTACAGAATTTTGTTTTTAGAATTTTGAAACAAAAATAAATAAAAAAAGAAAAGAGGTCTTTAAATGACCTAAGCTGTTGATAGATAGGACGTTAAACAAAATAAAACAAAAAAAATAAACAAAAAAGAATAAACAGAAATTCCAAGGAACAAACTTGGGACATATCCACTGCCAACCCTATACTATATATATACCAGTGTTACTATCCAGGAATGGAAAATGCACTGCATCAAAATGAAAGAGGAATACACTGTCAGGGGAAATAACTCTAAGACAGAAACAAAAATTATGGTGCTTCAATTTATATCGTCTTTATACAAAGGAGAAGACCCCAAGTGGGAAAAACAACTCTGTTATAGCTGGTTCAGCGGTATCTTTTCCCTTAACTGAAACAGTATATTGGTCACATTGTCAAAAAGCCATACTATAACTACGTCATGACAACATCGATCAAGTTCGCTAGCTACAACAGATATTTCTGAGTACGTCTTCTGGTTAATTTGGCCTCATTCTAATGTCAGGGTTTTGCCCGATAGATTAAAGAAACAAATTTTATATAATTCACAGCCAGCAAAATATTTTTTTGTAGCTTTGACATAAACGATGTGGAAAAGGACATTCACATTTATATGGACATCACAGAAGACTGACATACTTTTTACAAGCTCAGCAGTTAAGACAAGCATTATTCTATAAATATCTCAACCGGAAAGTCCCTTCTATCTAAACGTAGAACAATGGAACATACCATTCTATGACAACATCTATATATATATAAATTTTACACAAATTTGGTGATACCATCAAGCTTTCAAAGGACTGGAGATAAAGTATAACAAGTGGATGTAGCTATGATCACTGATATCCTGTTATCCCCACTTCAGGTATTACAAGATTTTAGCTAAGGTCATTTGATAACAAGAGTATAAGACCATGAATATCGAAACTGTTAAAAGATGTTAGTTGATACTGATTTGGTATCCCTGGCTTCAGGTATAACATAAAGATATGGGGGTATACAAGGTTTGAGACATTAAGTATATCTACAACAACACTGGAATCTTGTTGGTACAGACTGTTCACAAACATCTACTTTACTGACAAAAATAAATTAATTGAGACTTTTTTCAGGAACTAAATTTTAAGTACCAACGAGATTTCACCGCGTCCCACCTATATGTACAGGATCGTTAGATAACTTACAGGAATTGTGTCTTACTACATGGGTCGTATTAGGCATGTTATTAATGTATTAATTGCACGTACAAACCAAAGGTTCGCAGATTAGGTGTTAAACAGGTAAAATACAAAAACTATTAGAGGTTAAAAAGCATCAGTTATTCAAAACAAATTCAAGATGTATATAAAGCAGATCTTCTGGTGTATTTTTCTTATACTTAGAAGATGAATAAATTAAGGTGCATACTTCATTTAAAACTTGTGTTCAATGAAGTTTTAGTATGCTTTGAACAACTGGGCTCTACAGTTAGTGCAAATTAAGCTGTGAAAAGATGTCATCGATTTTGTTCATTTCAAACAATATTAAAGTTAGCTGTGAACATTAATTACAACATCATAACATGCTTGTACATCAACATAACATTTCATGTGGTTGTGTCAGAAGGCAACATATATGTCTACAGAATCACTTGTANCCCCACACCACACCACACCACACCACACCCACATACACACACCACACCACACCCACACATACACACACCACACCCACACCCACACCACACACACACCACCACCACACCACACCACCATATTATTGGTATTGGTCCAATTCACAATGAGATGAACATATTTTTCTTCCAAATTCGATCAAGAATTTCCAAAATCCACAAACATTTTGTTTTCAAATATCCCTATGGACACTTTTTAACAAGAAGAATTTCAGAAAACCAAACAATTTCCAAGAGAAATATTTAATAGAAGCTTTGGACTCGTTTTAACACTGTTAATTCTCCCATAAACCTGAACAATTCATGATTAAGTCATTAACTGATAAATATTTGAAAATATTACTAAAATTGTAAATTGTTTTCCCCAGAGAGCTCTCCCAAAGACTTCAGATGTAAAGTGTTATTAACTTGACTCATAATATGCCTCCTGACTGACAACTCACTGGTTACAACCTTATGTCTTATGTAACATTCATAACACAAACTATCAAAACAGCAGCAAATTAACATGGATAGTTCAAAATGCTTAGAAAATATTTTAAACTCAAAACAACGCTGTAAAAAGTTCTTGAATGCATATTTAATTTGAAAAATAAAAACTTTAAAATTTGACAAAAGATTCCAAACATATTTATTTTGATAACCAGATACGACCAAATAAGGGCCTTTCGGAAAATCAAAATGAGGTAGAACCTTCCAAAAAATCTCAAAAAAAGGTCAAAATAGACTCTTTTTAAGCATGTTGGTAACTTGTGGAGGAGTAATGAGACACTCATACCAAAAAAAGGAAGTGTGCTTAAAAACAATGAGATGGGCACTTACTAGGTGAAATACAGCTTTTTCTTGAATCCAACATTTAAAGTCCATTGAAGTATCTTTTACAGCATTATTCTCAATCAAAAGTGAAATAAATTAACACATCAACAATTATCCAATCAAATCATGCCGTCTGCCTGCCTAAGTATCCCGCCCAGTCATGTGACCCCTAGGATTTGTTATCAATGTGGATTAGAAGCGGTTAATTATAATGTGATGACAATTAATCCTGATAAAGATCTCGGGTATTATTAATCGTCTATTAATGATATTCAGTATTTAAATTTAGATTAACATGTCTTACCAATAACCTTGCTTGCCTAATGAATGTTTTTTTTGGACTTATATCATCTCCTAGTGACCTTCACTAATGCAATCTTTAACTTACCCAGAGTCTGATCCGAATGAGCCGTTGCCGCCGAAAGAACTGGACGAAGAAGCGAAAGATGGAAATCCTGTAAAAGAATTTTGAAACATGTTGGAACCACCGTCTGCACCTAAGGAGAACAGAGAAATGGGTTAGGTACCAAACACATGCACATATAAACACAAGTAGGTAAATCTGTACTAATACACGGAAACCCCATCTATTTACTGGAGGGTGTCAGCTGCTGCGGTATTCACAGGCCATTTGTAATCATATCGAGCTGGGCTCAGGCCAGACTTATCGTAAATTAACAAACACTAGTGGAATTATGAAGAGGAGCTGGTATGTTGTAGGAATGCTATACCTGGTCATTCACAATTTAAGGCCAACTATTTAAAATTCTGTGATTTTCTGTTTTTGTAAAATCTTGTTCATTCAATGATCAGCATGAAGTTTTTAAATTTTTCATAAAAGGAAAAAAAGGAAAGATCATAAATCATATTTTCTTGATAAGAAGTAAAATGAAATATATTGTCCTAATGATTTTTTTTAACTTGAAACAGGGAGAAAAAAAAAACACTCATGGAATTCAAGAATTTTTTGAGTACGGCTCTATTATTTTATTTAGTAAATTATAAAAATTGACTTTATTGGTATAAAACAAATTGAGACACAAAGATAACAAAACTTGATTTAAATTTCTGCCTCCTCACTTTCTCCACCCCTGCAGGTCAGGGATCGAGAAAAGAATACACCTGCTGTTACCCACTGCATGCATCATAAGAGGCGACTATTGTGGGAACCCCTTGCAAAATTGGGGATTTGCTTTTATGCCCTCAATTAGGGGACACAAAAGTGTACCCATTGCAATATTTGGGATATTTATCTTTCTTTCTACTTCTAACTACTTTTTTTTTTATTCCTAGCGCTTTGCTTGGCAATTCCTCACTTCTGGCTTAAATGGTAGTTGTTATTCCCTGCTTAACGTTAAGCATTTAGGGTAATGGCAACAACTGGTTCACCTGTTGTCAGTATAATGTGACTGGGCATAATACTGTGCTGGGGCCTTTGACATGGTATTTCAGTGAGATAGCACTATAAAGTCAGCATCAGATCTGCGCTGTCACAAGGGGGCAATTACTCCAACATACCCTGTCTCCGTCACACATACACGCATGAATGCTGCTTACACAACACAAATGGAGGCACGTCCTTAAATGACCTTAGCTGTTGATAGGACGTTAAACCTAATCAAACCAATCCTCACCTTCTCCTGGTTCCATAAAGGCATTACCTGTACAGATTATAATTATCACCCAGCCTATATTCCGTCTTTGCGTATTGCAGAATTATCTTCTTTTGTGAGCAGGTATTGATTGTTACGTCATTGGTTTGTGTGAGAAAATTACGTCGTTTTCTCAAAAATTGATGATGTCACTCTTTGTGAGAGAAACATCATCAATTTTTGAGAAAACGACGTAATTTTCTCACATAAACCAATGACGTAACAATCAATCCCTGCTCACAAGAGAAGATAACTCTGCAATACGCAAAGATGGAAAAGTTACATTGTGATGTTAATTTTGTAATTGTTAAATTTGTATATTAATGTTAATTAATATTGCTCCATCTCTATAACTGAACCATTACATACACTTTTTATATTTATACTAAATCTAGATAAATACTGCAAATAAACTTGACATGCACTGAGAGATAGTGTTCTACACTTTATGTCTCTACAGTTGGGTTCCATTGACTATGTTGTAAAAATAGACATTTCTGCTAATTAAGTGTTAATATACCCAGCTGTATAAAGCATGCATGAATGTATGACACAATGTGATATTATTGCAGCAGCTGAGTGCCAATATGACAATTTTCAAACCACAAATAGTTTAACGCCACAATGTGAGAAATGTACAATGTACACTTTTGGAATTTAAGGTTATGAAGAATATTGCTAAATTAACACCTTTTCTTAGAAATTTAATTACTAAGTCCTTTTTTCTTTCTTTTCTAACACAAATATCAAAATACAGTTCTTATCTATATTGTGATAAACCATTGTTTCAGAATATTTATGATGTATACACTATAAGAAAAGTTGAATTACCGATAAAAAAGACGAAACATTGTTTATAGAAATACACTGCATGCTGTTCATGTCATTTATCATTTGTCAGAGGAATATGTGACATAAACAGCAATACTGTAAAATAAACATTTCAAAAAATCATTTTTAACACATATATTAAAAAAAATACAAAAACACCTTGTAAAAATAAACCCTCAGGGCAAAAATAGACCCTTACGACAATGAAGAAAACGTACATTCTTTTCATGGGTAATTATAACTGATAATTGGACATAACATCATTAGAAGATGACATGGAATTACATGATTAAAAGCAAACTTAATCACATTCAATTTATGGAAAGAAAAATACTGTTTTTTATGAAAACATGATATTAACAGATGCAACATTAAGCAACTTGACATTAAATAAAATTGTGAACATTTTTGAAATTTAAATGATTAGATTAGATATGCTACTGTATGAAAATGCCAAAAACATTCCCCAAATCTTTATAAATTAACAAACAAAACGTTAAACACATCGAAATGAAACTAAACACCAGAGAGATGGGTAGGATTTTCTTGAACCAAAGATATAGGAAGGCTGGCCTGTAGTGTAACCAGAGGCTGGCTACACAGCCTTTACTGTTGGCGGGGCTATGTCCCATTCAAGCTTCCACACCTGGAGATGATTACTGAGGGAATTTAGCTCCCCGTTCTATACACTGAGCTGTCTGAATTCCTCAGCAGGCCACATCGTAAGGAGTGCAACATGCATTACTTTAAATCTAATCCATGAATAAGAATACATGTATTAGTCAAAAAGAATCCTGTTTCAAAAGCAACCCTGAACTGTGACCTTTTGCCTCTAAACACTTCATGATTGTTTATCATATATTCAATTGAAGTTTTGACATTGTTTTCATCAAAGTAACTGATCAACCAACCTTTTAAACAACAGGCCCAGGAGGCCTGTATCGCTCACCATGGCAAAATCTTACTCTCTATTTGTACAATTTTGAATTTAAACCACCTGTGAATGCTGTCAACCAGATATGGTTGATTTCATTAATACAGAACATGCCCTGCCAATCATAACCAAGGGAGGGGAGGTGGGGGCAATGTGGCTAAAGTATACCTATTTTGGCCCTGCCCTTTAGCCTCCACCCCCCAACCCATCCCCAGGTTGTGGGTCAGCTTCTCTATTTGTACAACTTTGAATCCCCAACTTCTAAGGATGCCTCGTGTTAAATATTTGATGACATTTGGTTTAGCAGTTCAGATGAAGTTATTTAAAAGTAATTTTTGATAAACACACAATGGACACAATAGCATAAACACACCTTGGTCCTTTTTACCAGGTGAGTTAAAAATCTCTGGCACCTGTATTCAATTACCAGTATTTTAGTCTTTGAGTCAGAGTTAATTGTCACTGTACATACATCATATCACTAAGAAGAAAGTATGTGTCAGGGCTAGTTTATATACTAGGTATGTACTAGACTGTGGACCTGCACATTCTGTAGGTTCACAGGACCTAATGAGCTACTACACAAGAAAAGGACCTTGCCACCCATACTTAGATGGATAAACAATTATCATTACAAAATTCCAACAAGCCTCTGTGTCAGGGTCTGACTTTACCAACACAAACAACAGTTGTGGTTGCTGAAACACCTGATGTGTGATTGTTACTTCTGACAGCATAACTAACATCAGCAGTCATTACCAGCAGTGTACCGCCACACAAACTCTCATACACAACCTGATCTAACAAAGGGGCATAACTCTTATATAAGACAATGTTTGTCTGCCAATAGAAGGGAGTGAATCCATCTTTCTTTACTTTCCTGACCATAACACAGCAGACCAAGAAAATAAAGGGAAATAACTCTTTCAGATGATCTGACATTCCTGCCATCCTTTCTCAAAAAAATATTTTGTGCATGGTAAAATTAAGACAGCTTTGACAAAACATCTTACATTTGTTATCAACTTTTTGATGAATTTATCATTCGAACAAATAATTCATATAAACCAATATATGTGGCATTTTCCTGGCTTGACTTACCTCCAAAAAATGAAGCAAAGGGATCTCTGCCACCAAAGAACTCCCGGAATACATCTTCTGGGTCGCGGAACTGGAAACCATGGAATCCATGGAAGCTTCCTCCCATATCAAAATTGTTTTGCTGCTCATGGTGTCCTTGTAAACCTTCTTTACCGTATTGGTCATATATATTCCTCTTTTCCTCTAAAAAGTAAACAATCTATATTAGTATAATTCTCCTTAATAGACTTTTCCTCTGTCTTTACAATTCCTGAAGGTTCCCCCTAATGTAATTATGAAACAAGAGGCCCAGAGGGCCTGTATCGCTCACCTGAATTTGTTTAAAATAATTGGTATGAAGTAAAGATATAGCACTCCTTGGTAGGTACTGTAAGTACATGAAATTTCATAAAGATCCATCCAGCCCTTGAGATAGAGTGAGAACAAACTTCAAACAGAGCCCCATCCCTCTGCCCCTAGGGGGGTCATACCCACTATTTATACAAAATTGAGTCCCCTTGACCCAAGGATGCTCCAGACTAAATTAGGATAAAATCCCTTTATCCCTATGGTAGAAGAAGGATTTTAAAGGTTTTACCTCTATTTCCCCTATTGGGCCCCACCTCTCTGCCTCCAGGGGGGTCAGACACACCGTTTATACAAAATGTGTGCCCCTTTACCCAAGGATGCTTCAGACCAATATAAATATAAACCAAATCCTTTCATTCCTACAGAAGAAGAAGGATTTTGAAGAATATTTTGCTATGTTTCCCATATTGAGCCCCGCCCCTCTGGCCCCGGCCCTGCCCCTCAGGCCCCTTAGGGGCCAGACCCACGGTTTGTACAAAATTGGTTTCCCTTCACCCAAGAATGCTTCAGACCAAATATGAAACAAATCCTTTTATTCCTACAGAATAAGAAGGATTTTCTAAAGAATTTGCTGTGTTTCCCCTATTTGGCCCCGCCCCTCAGGCCCCTGGGGGGCCAGACACACGGTTTATACAAAATTGTTCCCCCTTTACCAAAGGATGCTTCAGACCAAATATGGAACAAATCCTTTCATTCCTACAGAAGAAGGATTTTAAAGAATTTGCTATGTTTCCCCTATTTGGACCGTCCCTCTTGCCCCTGGGAGATCCACGGTTTATACAAAATTGGTTCCCCTTCACCCAAGGATGCTTCAGACTAAATATGGAACAAATCCTTTTATTCCTACAGAAGAAGAAGGATTTAAAAAAAATTGCTATGTTTCCCCTATTTGGCCCCGCCCCTCAGGCCCCTGGGGGGCCAGACCCACGGTTTATACAAAATTGTTCCCCCTTTACCCAAGAATGCTTCAGACCAAATATGGAACAAATCCTTTCATTCCTACAGAAGAAGAAGGATTTTAAAGAATATTTTGCTATGTTTCCCCTATTGGGCCCCGCCCCTCAGGCCCCTAGGGGGCCAGACCCATGGTTTATACAAAATTAATTCCCCTTCGCCCAAGGATGCTTCAGACCAAATATGGAACAAATCCTTTTATTCCTACAGAATATTGGGCCCCACCCCTCAGCCCTAAGGGGGGCCACACCCATCATTTATACAAAATTTGTTCCCCTTCCCACAAGGATGCTTCTGACCAAATTTGGTCAAAATCTGCTCAGTCGTTCATGACTAGTAGCGTTTTAAAGGAAAAGTTGACGGACGGACGACGGACGCTGCGGTATGGCATAAGCTCACCATGGACCTTCGGACCAGGTGAGCTAAAAATTAAAAGCGATTTCCACCTTGCAAAGTTGGACATTTCACAACTTTGCATTCTGGCTTACTTTTAAAATCTGTTCGGTCTTTTCATAGTGTGGACGGCATCCCTTTGTCAATCTTAACTATAGACACGGAACTAGATTATATAAGGCTGCGCTACAGAGTACCGAGACAATACTAACATTTTAGTCAGGGTCCGTATTCATGAAACAGTTTTCAAATAGAGGCAACAATATATAATTTCAATTTTTTTATTGAAAGAAAAGATTTCCAAACATTTTTTTCTGATAAACATATCACACTCACCATCTGATAACACTTCGTAAGCTTCTGATATTTCTTTAAATTTTTTCTCTGCCTCCTCTTTTCGGTCTGGATTTTTGTCTGGATGCCATTTCAGAGCTAGTTTTCTGTACCTGTAAAAACATAAACAGAAATAAAGCTGTTTTAATCATGTGTTTGGAAACTTAACACAGAATGCAACTGACTTTATATGTGTGTTGTTTTGTTGTTTAATATAACCATAACACAGAAGACAGTCACATTATCATACTGTCCTATCATAAACAGCAAAATGATACAACAACATGACAGAAAAGTTTTATTACATGGTGAAATAAAGAGATAAGCGATAAATTTAGAGGGACCTATAGGAATTGTAAAGACATTGAGAGACACCTTTTAGGAATTGTAAAGACATTGAGAGGGACCTATAGGAATTGTAAAGACATTGAGTGGGACCTATAGGAATTGTAAAGACATTGAGAGGGACCTATAGGAATTGTAAAGACATTGATAGGGACCTATAGGATTGTAAAGACATTGAGTGGGACCTATAGGAATTGTAAAGACATTGAGTGGGACCTATAGGAATTGTAAAGACATTGAGAGGGACCTATAGGATTGTAAAGACATTGAGTGGGACCTATAGGAATTGTAAAGACATTGATAGGGACCTATAGGAATTGTAAAGACATTGATAGGGACCTATAGGAATTGTAAAGACATTGAGAGAATAGTAGAGAACAACACTCCCCAGCCAAAGTAGGGTCAGCTCCTTTACTTGTATGACTCTAGGCTAAGCATGTTTCCACTCGTTTTGTTTAAGTGTGCCTAGTAGTTTTAATAGATTTCTCATATATTTGATCCCTTTGTCACAACACGTATACATTGATAGACAGTCTTCAGTTTCCTATTCATTTATAGCACAACAATTAGCCCTGTAATCACCACTCAAACAAAACGTGGAATTGATCTTTTGAGCAAGACGGACACACTCATCACAAAACACGACAATCAAGGTATGTTTTTATCTGTCATGGTATGTTATTAGTTATCTCTGGGTTAGGTGGTGTCTTCAGGCTCATAGACCCCGTGCCTTCGACACGGTCTACATGCTCATAGACCCCACCTAACCCAGAGATAACTAATTTGTCACACTAGCAATCTTTAAAAAAAAAAAATCAGCAAAATTATAAATCACTTACTAAGTTTGATTTGCACTTGACTGCTACCAAAATAGCCTGTACCGAACACCGTTTTGTCAATATTGTGGAGAATACACTACCATCTTTGTAATTAACACCCTAGTGGCCCCTCATTGCCTGATTCTTTGAATTTGTTGTTATTTAGATTGCTTGTAGTTTTTTTAATCCTGTGAACGATTGGGAAACTTAAAACGTTTGAGTGTGTCGGATGCCATCTTTGTTGTTATGAAGAGATCGAGATTCTAGTTTGAGTTATCTCCCCTCGCACATGCTTTTATAGACCCCGCTCTAGACCCAGGCACAATATCCAATCAGAAAGAGTGTTACAAATTAGAAGGGTGACAAATACTTATATCCTCTTAGCTACAGCAAAAGTACATGGAGTCAGTACGTTTTCAACAAATACATGTATGTTATTCACAATTTAAACAGTTTGGTAAAAAACATGTTTTGAATTTGTAAATAATCTTTGTTTTTGATTTCATAAACTGTTACCTTTTTGAACCTTCCTTTTTATCTTGCAACATTTCCAAACAGGATTGAATCAGAAATTCTTATCTTTTCCCCCCCTCCCCGTCACCAAATGAAAAAAACAAACCCATTAAACTCACACACATTTTGTAAGCCTCATAACATCTAAATATAAATAGATATCCAGACACTTGTTTTCCTCAAAATTCTCAAAAAGAGAGAAAGTTCTAAATTACACATAAACAAACCTATTTTTAGATACTATTTACGTGGGGTTGAAGATAATTTACAACACCGTTTACTGGGGAACGGCAGCAGAACTTATCAATAACTGTCAAGATGTTCTACCATCTTGCATCACAAAAAGAAACAACCTGAATGATTCAAACATTGCAATTTGATTGGCTCCCGTCCAGGCTAGCTACGTACGTAGGTGCCATATTTATCGAGTTTATTTCTACCAGTGTTATGCAAACATCTAGGAAATAGGAACTGTGAGATAGCATTTTAGTGTCTATAACCATAGGGGTTTTCTGGATATTTTAGGAATTGCCACATTCCCTAAAGTTGGGAAAAACTGACAGCATATCAAAGTGTATCTTCTGTAATTCCCCTTTTTAATGAATGTACAGTAGGATTTTGTGAAATATTTCTATAAACGATAAAAACAGAAAATTAAATGTGTTTTGTTAACATACAAAACTTAAAAAATCTCAGCATAAACCAAACATAAATCTGTATTTAACATTTTGGGAATTTTCATCGCCCAATTAGGATGAAATTAAAACTATGTAGATTTCGTTTGCTATGGCGCTGAAAAAAACATGGGAGGAGAAACCGGGAATCATCAAAGGACAAATACAGTGTATATCTGTTAAAAGGTATCTGGTTAATTACTCCATTGCTTTGTATCATGTGCAGCAAAGAATGTACAAACGAGGTGACTAGCTTAGGAAGCTGTTAGGCTTACATACGAGGTGACTAGCTTAGGAAGCTTTTAGGCTTTTGATTGTTTTTGCTTAGGATAACTTGAGAAACAGAATTTGATCTGCTGGCCCAATACACTATTTGGGACCTGTAACTTTGTTTTATTTTTTACCTACACTTTCTTTAAATAAATAAATAAAATTTGTTATCACTCATGGCATTGCTTTTGGAAAATACCCCGTTGTTAAAGTATTGGAGATTGGTGCTACAGTCTTTAGATGGTTACAGTATGGCATTTCATTGAGATGGCACTTCACCCTTTCAACACTGTATATATATATAATATATGCCAAAATTAAGAAATCAAAATGGCCTACTAATGGAGAAAATTCACCAATTGGATGTGTTTATTTATAGTAGAAGTAAAGGGGGAATATTTTCAAATGCACTTTAATTAAGAGTTCCTGGAGTTTCATTGAACGACTCAGTGGACTGAGTAAACAATGGTGAAAAATTGATAAACCAAATTAGGTTGGATTGACTGTAGGAGAACATTCACACCTTATTTTACAGCCCAATGGAAATTTGATAAATATTTCTTTTTTAAAGAAATGGCGTACGTACAGCATCAGGATGTACAATTCATCCAAGAAATCTACCATTCTTCAGTTTAACTGGCCAAAATGTCCTAAATAATGCTACCCATTATAGGGAAAGTCAGGAAGAAAACCTTACGAAATGGCTTTATTACTCATCAATCAAGTGTTAAAAACCTCAACATTTCTCAAATAGTTTGTTGATGACAGTTTCTATTCCATTGAGATACTTATAATTCCGAGGAGGAGGCCCCGGCGGAGCAGTGCCAAACACTTACAAGACAACAGGGGTCGTTAAGCTGCGTGCACAAACACATTCACAATATGCAAAGCACCATTTATCACTTCAGATAAGATTCTGATGCGTTTTTAAAATTTCTCCATTAAGTATAATTTCCATATTATAAGTATTACATCCTTTTCCCCTGAAATTCTTTTATATTATTTATTATACTTCGGAAAAAATAACAGCATGAACTTTTTTTTATACAAGGTATCTAAATTATTTCATAAATTTACTTTCTTTCGACAGAGAATAGCTAGACAACAATTCTTCAGTAAGATAGTGCCAGTCAAAACTGAAATATTAGCCTTGTAATAGAAAGGTGAGCATGCGCATTACAGGGGTAAAAGCATGAGAGATCTCAGTGGCAAGGGTCTAGATTACAGAAATTGGCAACACAATAGTCACTTTAATGTAGTAAAGTAAAGGTTGTGTACATTGTATTTGTGCCAAATTTAATACAAAGTTAGACAAAAATTTACCTCCAAGCAAATGCATGATTACAACTAGCTAGATAAACTAGAACAATCGAGATAAAAATATTATCAAACAATTTTTGTTTGTAGCTTTTTTTCAGCATCTGTTCTTAACTCATTCACCCCTGTAGACACATTTGAACTCTCCCAATTCAAAAGTTGGAATAGTTCATTATGAAATTTCAGGGGTCATTTAGTTAATTAACTGTTATGTAAGTTAGTCCCCAATCCCTCAGACACTATTATAAGGAAATGTGACACAGATGTTGTCTACCAGAATTGTACGGTCAGCAAATTGTTTGTAAGCTATGATTAATAGCCTTTAATCAAATGAAATTAGACAACCATGATTTTAATTTCAAGGCAGTTTTAAGCTAGTAGCCATGGCCATTATGCACAATAAAATTGAAATGGTCCGTAACAAATATTTTGGGGGCGATGGTGTCCATCTACAATCACTAGCCCTCCACCCCTGGGTCGTGGGTTTGAGGCCTACGTGGGTCAGTCGCCAGCACAGGTCGGTGGTTTTGCTTCGGGTATTCCAGTTTCCCTCCACCACAAAAACCTGGCTTTCATTGACTTTAAATGACCATAGCTATTGATAAAACATACAGCACTATCAAACCAAATTTAAACCAAACCAAACAACAGTTTTGGGAAACTTTTATGTAAAATAGGAAACAAACAAAACTGTTTGAAACTGGAAAATATAATAAGTGTGGTTAACCCTTTAACCTCTATGCAACTTTAGTAGACTCTACTATGCATTGATCTGGACAAGTCCATTACGGTCTACAGTGGTGAAAGGGTCGAGCTGTCCTCATCACTGCTTGATGATAAACACATAGAGGTCAATTAAACTAGGTTAAGATCTTGACTTCACAACAGGAATGTACTGTACTTTCTTTACCACTTATAATGGTAAACGTTAGGCAGTGTAATTTCAATGTATCATTATCAAATGGAGTTCTTACATGTCTATGATATATTATACATTAACCCTTTCACCCCATGTAACTTTAGTAGACTCTACCATGCATTGATCTGGATGAGTCCATTATAGTCTACAGTGGTGAAAGGGTTAAGTACAGTATAAGATAAAATGATAAACTGAGACAGTGTCAGGGAATATGTGTAGGAACCTTATCAGGATATTTTATACCAACACTGCACTGT